CTTTTTTTTCTTCGTACTTATTTTCTATTTCTCACACTGCTTGTTTGTAAGTACACTTACTCTTGTATGCCGTTAAAAGTAAGTCATTTTACTTTTGTCTATGTATTTGTAACATTACAATGCTAGAGGTTTTATTGACACACATTATTTCACAGTATGCATTATCACTTGAAAATAAATGGAGACTAATAGACTAAAATTGTACATTTGACGAGTGAACTTTGAATAGGCAAGTTCTATTGATATTGATGGCACAGTCAGGTAGACTTTGATACAGATTATCATGCACAAACGTCAAGTAAAAAATATTCGAGTATTGCACGTGTGCAGTACTCATTTATAGCAATCAACATGAGTATAATTTATATAAAAGTTTTGGTAAAGCAAAAAAGATAGATTAGTCTTTTGACAGGCAATGAGATATGCATATCTCACCGCCCACCAAAGTATTATATGAATATTTGACAAATTATATGTATGTCTGACTTCATCATAGATTGACGCATAGTCAGTCTCTATTTTAGTTTCGCTTTCATTTGAATTTGACGATCAATTTCAGTAATTGTTACTATTGTCTTTTAGCCATAATAAAAGGAAATGATATCTTTTCTTTCTTTGCGTTTTTTCATCATAGTGAACACAATACGACTAATTTTTTTTCTTTAAATCAATTATAAAAAAAAAACATGGAAGCATGAGAAAGATGTTCTAATCAATTTGTTTGTATTATTGTAATAAGAGAGAGGAAGTAGCAACGAAACGGAACGTGCTTGTTTATCAATAGGCACTTGAAGCAAATAAGGAAAAGAAAAAGTAGACATCTTATTGTTACTAATTACATCATGATGAAGTTTTTTTTTTCGCCTTAATTACAGTTACTAGTAAAAAGAAAATTCGATTTCCGTTTTTGTTAGTACTAGCATCAACAAGAGAAAGAAACTGATGTGTCTAAGAGTTTCGATTTTCTTTTCTTGCTCTCTATGTTTTCCGCTGTCATTATTTGATTTATCTATCATATTACTTTTCATATGTATATGTGATGAATGTCTCAGAGATCAGTTAAACAAGAGAATGCTATTGTTATTCGATAGGCATAGAGGGAGGTGAATAATAACTATGAAAGATAGTCAAGGCTTGAGTAGCTTCATCATCTATTGTGTCTGGAAGGCATTTTAATATTTAAATCCCTTGATAAATATTTTTTATGGAATTGTAAGAAAATGGTAAAAAAAAACGAAAAGTTACTTATCTTATTTGATTGGCTAACATATTGATATAGATCGTTATAAGTAGTTTTTTAACTAATTGAACTACCAACATCTCATATTACCCATGAGAAAAGTCTAAATATGTAAGTATGTATATATGTAACAAAATCGACAAACAGAAAATGTATACCATATTAGATATATATGATAATACATTCTCCAGGCATTTTTCTTTTGTATAACATTTTTATGATCGATCATACGAAAAAAAGTAGAGGCAAGAAAGAAAATGAATATAAACTCGTTTTGTTTTTTATTTAATAATAGCTGTAATGTAGTAAAGATTAAATAACAACAATCGTTAATCTGCTTGTTCTTCTCTTTCTCTCTCTCTCTCTCTCTTATACATATATTTGCTTTGAAGCATCAAGATAAGAGTTAGACTTCGTTAAAAAAAAAATGGCAACAACAGTAATAGTCTAAAGATATAGCATATTTACATGAGGTGAATGGATCATCGCTTTCTATCATCGGTAGTAAAACTGACGAGTCGATCGGCTGCCAATATGAGCATCAATGTTATTGGCAAAGGTCATTTTCTTCGCTCATATTCTTTTCGTTTTTCTTCCTCTCTTTTGTGTTCTGACCCTCTCGTTCATGATAAAATAATACAAGGGAAAGATTCCACTCATTTTAAACACACGCATGCAATACATCTATGAGAGCTGATAAGCCAACATTTTGGCCACCATTGTGAATGTATTGGTGTATAAGAACACTGACGCATCTCATATATATATTTATATATATATATATATATATACTTGAGTGCCTCTACGTATGTGTGTATCTTGAGACCGAAGTTCTGTATAAAAGAGCCGCAGCTGACGCACATTTCCTCTTCGTTATTGCGTTTTTTTCTTCTTCTTTTTGCTTATAGATTGGAGGACATACATATACAATATACAAGCACGTATTTTGAAGGCTTTCTTTCTCCATCTGGTCGTTTTTACTTCTGCTATATTGAAGCAAATAAAGGTAATTAATATTTTGAACAAAATTGACTAAATGTGAACTTATCGATGAAAAGTGTACATTCATTATGAAAATCATGATATAGAATGTATTAAAATGTTTTTCCATAGAAGCACCAGTGTGATTTTAAATAGTATTAACAATAAAATCTACATTGAATGAAAGCTCGCAGAAAAATAAGATTTATGATCATATTGGTAACTCATTATGAATTATACTAGGCCATAGAATTATGAAAATTTTTACAATTGAAAGTATTTAGTTTAATAGTTTCATAAATAGTCAACAACGAGCACTCGAGATACTCAAAAAATTTTTTTTTCTTCTGTCAGATTTTGTAGATCTCTCTTTACTAATCATTTCTTTTGAACATGTTTCTAAAATTTGATGCATAAATGACTGTACTACAGTCAAAATACTGAATATCATAATCGTTATACAGAGAAAAGTGTTTGGCGTTTTTTAGTATTTTGCCTATCGTAACATTATTTATGCATCAAATTTAAAAAGCTTTTCAGCAAAAATAATCAGGAAAGAGAGACTTACAAAATCTGACAAACAAAAATATTTCACTAATTTGAGTGGTCATTGTGGACTACCTATGAAAGTATTAATCTAAATTCTTAAAATTGTGGAAAATTTCATAATTCTATCGCTCAAATTCATTCTAATGAATTACCAATTAGATCATAAATCTTATTTTGAAACAATCTTTCATTCAATTTAAAATTTATTATTAATGTTAGCTGCAAACACAGTAGTTCCTCTGGAAGAAAATATTGTTATATTCTTGACACTATGATTCATGAAGAAATTGCAAGCTACAAAATGTACCGATAAACGTAGAAGACAAGACACAAACTGGCATTGATAAATAATTATCCAACTTGCTTAACCTCGAGATGACGAGACTCCAAGGTTTTTCGTCATAATTTTCATTTGACAATGAGACAAGTAAAGATAGTAATCCATCATCAATACATAGACTATTCAATAACTTAAACTAACCGTCAACTCACATTCAGACATACTGATGATGTAAGATAAAAGTCAATCTATCTTTACACCATTGTTATGTCCTTTTTTAACGTTCCAAGATATTGATATTCTCTCGCGGTTTGCAACGCCATGAATATGTTCTTCGTTGGTTGTTTTGTTTTATTTTGTCCTTCGTTGTCTCTCTTAAGTTGTTGGTATGATGAGTCTATAGGAGAAATAGACAAGAATATCACAAGCAATCCTTGCCATAGCATCAGTATTAATATACAAAACGCCTAATCGGTATCTGCTTTTTTTTTGGACGTCAAACCGCATAATGGGCTAATAAAAGCATTGCGAACCGAGAGAAGAAAATAAAGAGAAACGGACTGTTCTCTTTCTACAACTCTTTTTTTCTTGGTTTGTATATTAGTGTGTAATCGCAATAGACCACTAACACCATCGCCGCTAATACCGCAACAATCGTAACCATCATCAACGAAGCAGTTGACGAAGCGGCAGCAACGACCGCACCACCTTTTCCTCTTCCTCTTCTTCTTCCCTCTCCATTTCTATTTCTTTTTCTTTTTTTTCTACATCCATTATGCAAAATATACATATATGCATATATTTATAATGATAGTAGCGCAAAAAAAAGGAGTAGAGAATATGAGACATAAGACGAAAGTATCTATATACTTTAACTGTTACTGATGATCAAAATTTTGTTTACGTTGATGGGCGATAACAACGACAATATTCAATTGAGAAAAGGAACAAATGTTCTTTTTCTCTTTCTTTACCTTTACCCTTCTGTACTTTTATTACACTTTACCTTTCAATTTTCGATTTTCTTTCTTTTTACCTATTCCATTCTCCAACATCATCTTCGCTGACAGGCAAACGGACTGACTGAGCATATACAGGAAGGACAAGTGTGCCCCTGATACTCCCACTTTTTGAACTGTTCATTCATTCTCTTTTCACTCATTTTATATGAACAACGATTGCTTCACATGTTCTCTGTATGTTATTGTATGTACATGTTGTATGTCAAATGTTACTCTCACAGTATGTTCTAAGCGTATGTTTTGTCTAAGTATGCCGACGCTGCGCTACCTCCGCCTGCCAACGAAGAATAATAATCGACTCGTCATTTATCCGCCGAAATATGACTAATATCAACGAGCCAAGAAATGAGCAACATTGAAAGAAAGCGACTGATTCATTGATCGATGATTATCAAAGTATTTGAGAAGAAGAAGAAGAAGAAGAAAAGAGAGAGAAGGAGAAAATGGTAGGCAGACTTCTATATGTATACATAAATTTGTTCTTATATTTTCCAGGCACATAGATTTTAAGATTAATGCGTAATAAGATGTAGATAATTATACATAAATAATAATTACACAAAATTATAAGACCATTTTCTTTTCTTTTTTCTTTCAGATTACTTCAAAATAATTCTTTCTTTTCAAATAAATGAACTATTCAATTAAACGAAGATAGTATGTTTTATTTTAGATTAATAAATAATTTATCTTATCTTTTTATTACCATAGATTGAGTTTATTAGTCGGTCCAAAGATCGACATTCTATTATATTCTATTAGTTCAATTGCATATTTGTGCAGATACATATTTGATTCGTTTCTCTCTTTCTCTCTTATAGTCAACATTTGCTTTCCTAAGGTGATGAATCTTTTTAATTTAAAGTAATAAGTCAAATTTCTTTCTTTTTTTTTTTTATTATTAATTAAAAATAGAATTCGCAATAAAATGCTGCGCATAACGTTCTTATCTTTAATATTATTTGTCTCATTATCATCAACATCATTACTTCGTAAAAAAATTTCACGTCGACAAAGTGAACCTGAATATTGTCACGCTATCGAAGGTTTCGATTGTAAATGTACATATTACCGTGTAACATGTACAAGTGATCGTGATTTACCAACATCAATTAATGTTTTACAAAATGAAAAACAAAAATATCAATCTGTTGAATTAGTTATTAATGGTGAACGTGAACAAAATGTTCATGATTATACATTTGAACCGGTCAAACAATTATATAAACCTGATGCGGATACTTTAGAATTTCGCATTAAATTTGAAAAGTTTACGGAACTTCGTTTATCATCACCAAGTATATTCAATCGAGTATTTCCGGATAATTTACCATCAGATGTTCGAAAAATTATGGTAAAAAACAAAAAAAAGCTGAGACTTTTGAATTTATTCTTTTAAAAATAAATATATTTCTTTCACTTAGGCATTAGAAGTTTATAATCCACTTGTTCAACCACATGATAATGCAAATTTATTTGCTAATTTAAATGTTGATTCATTAGAATTATATGTTTTATATCCATTTCGTGGAACATTTCAACAATTATTTAATGGTGCAAATATAAAATATTTACGTTTAAGTGGTGGTGATATACGTTCAGATTTATCACAACCATTTACAGGAAATATTGGACGTTTAGAATTAGCTAAACAAGCTTCACAACTATCCATTCAAAATTTTCCTGCTTATCCAGCACATGAATTAATCATTAATGCATTTTATGTTACCGATTTTTACACTGATCATCCACCAAATTATTCTAATTTAGTTGAATTACGTATTCATAGTCAAGAACGTATACCAGCTAATGCTTTTCGACAATATCCTAATCTACATACACTATCTGTTTCAACTGAAAAAGATATTGATCCACATGCATTTGATGGTTTACATCATTTAGAAAAATTAACTATTAAAGAAACAAAACCATCATTAGAATTGATAAATAATTTATCTAATGTTAAAGAATTTGAAGCAAGTGTTGAAAAACTTGATGATAAAGAACAATGTCGATTAATTGAAAAATTAGCTAATGGACAAATTGCTATACAGGGTAAAACTTAATCAAATAAAAAAAAAATACGTTTCATTTTTATTAATTATTTTTATTTAATTTAGCTATTCCCAATGGACATGCATGTACATGTGTATCAGCTTATTTGGATACTGCATCTGGACGATATCCATGTGATGCACAAAATTGTGAACAATCATCATGTGCAGCAATTAAAAATAATTTTGATGCATCAACACGTACATTTAAAACACCACCACCTATTCGACGTTCAGATGGCACTGATGCTTTACGTCCACGTGAACCAAAAGTATACACTGCACCATATCAAGTATCACATCAAGATCAAGAAAAAGTTCAACACGCTGCACCACATCATGCACAACAACCATCGGAACAAGAAAGTGACGGACAACAACAACCAGAAGATGTAAGACCAGTTGGTCCATCGGACCAGTCCCAAGAATCAAAACCACATACTCACACAACTACCCAAAGTTTCGATCAACAGCAAGGTGAAGATGAACACGATCATGTAGCATCCGAGCCACCTTATGATCCATCACGACAACAACCCTATGATCCATCACAACAACAACCCCATGATCCATCACAACAACAACCCTATGATCCATCACAACAACAACCCCATGATCCATCACAACAACAACCCTATGATCCATCACAACAACAACAACCATACGACCAATCACAGCATCAACCATACGATCCATCGCAACAACAACCATACGATCCATCGCAACAACAACCATACGATCCATCACAACAACCACAACCTAGCGAAACTCATCATATAGGTAAGACGAACAATTATAGTTTTAATAAAAAAAATAAATCGTATAGCTTCCTAAGATGTAGAAAGAAAGAAATATTGATAAAAAATTTTAGTAATATAAGAGAACTTTTATAGAGCAGTTTCACAAAAATTATCCATCAAGAAATTGCAATAAAGCTAAAATATTTCCAGCAGAAAACATCAATATTACTCATCAATTGTTTAAAATAATCAAAATGAATTATCATAGATATATTTGACTAATAGAGAGAAGAGAAAGAATGAAAGATAAAAAAATGTCTTCGGATTATCCAAATAATTACGAGAGCTATACAGAAACAATAACATTCTCTAGATGTTTGGACGAGTTTACTGTATCATTAAAACGGAACGACATGATACTATTCCTAATAGAAATGAAAATGCATAAACTATCACAAATAAGCACACATAATTACTACTTCGTGATCATTCATTGATATATATATATATATATTCATTTATTAATTAGAATAAAAAAAAATAATTTTGAAGCTATTACTGCTTATATTTACAATTTATTTGATATTAATAATATTTCTTTCAAAGACTTTCTAATGAAGATTTATTTGTCTACTTGTCTTTGATAATCTTTAAACAAATTTAACAATTACATTTTAAAATAGACAACGATGTTAACGAAATGAAATATATCTATATCATTGATTGTAGGTCCACTGGTACCACACGAACAAACGAATCAAGGAGAAGGTGTTGATCCAGGAACATCAGTTGAAGGTGGTGAAGATAAACAAGATGGTGATGATCAGAAAACTCAAAAAGATGAAGAAGGTCATGAAACTCATAAAGAAGGAGAAGGTCATGAAATTCATAAAGATGGAGAAGGTACTGAAAATCAACAAATAGGAGAAGGAGGTCAAGAGCAACCTGCACAAACTGATTCAAGTCAATCTACAGAAGCAGCTGCTACTGTTGCTACTGATGTTACTGATGCACCGGCACCAGCTAAGAAAGGATTTAGTTGGTTACCAATAATTATTATTGTTGCAGCCATAGCCGCACTTCTTCTTATCGGTTTACTCATATTAATATTGCGAAAACGACGTGCTAGTAGAGGATATAACCCAGCATCTACTTCAGACCGTGGAGCAGGTACAACAGCCAGAACATAAATATGTTTTAGTTTTGTTGTTCAAAATAATTGTCGTTTTGTTTTGTTTGTCGTTTTGCTTTCTCTCGTTTAATTTCTCTCTCGTCGGTGTTTCTCCGCACTCTAAGCAAGAGCAAGTATTATTATTATTACTAATTATTATCCTTATTATAATTATCTATATAATGATTTGAATACTATATGAATACGATCCTTTTTTTCCTCCCCTTAGATTAGTATCTAAACAAGAAAACAATGATTTTAAGTGATTTATTATGTGTGTGTGTTCTTTCTCTTTTTTTTCTTAACCCATTATGTTTATTCTCATTGAAAAAGATTTCAGTTTTCTGCTACTATTTCTTTTATTATTCACGTGATGAACTTTTTTGTGCTCTTTTGTGTTTATATTTCATTTCTTTTTATTTCTCTGGTCTTGCTTTTGCGTTAGTTTAAACAGAAAATTATTTCTCAATTTCGATCATTCACATACACATCAAGTATTTTGTTGTTGTCGTTATTACCACTTTTAAATCCCTTTTATTTTTCCTTTTTCTTATCAATATCAATAACAATATGATGAAGAAAAAAACAGAAAGCGAGAAAAATTTTTTATCAATTGATTGTATTCCCTTATAATGTGTGCAAAGGCGTTTATTTCCTATAATTCGCTTGTTTTGCTTTATTTCATTTCCTTTTCTGTCTTTTTGCTCTGTTTATTCCTACATTCTGATTTTCAAGTGGTTTGGTATTTTTCTAGCAAGTTTTAAGTTTGTCGTTTTTGTTTTGCTGTTTAATTCAACTCACATGCACGCACAAGCATTATTTCTTTTCTTTATGAATTGAAATTTGTTATAAAAACGGCAATGCAAAAAAAAAAAAATATTAAATGTACTTTAGTTAACCAGACAAACTTATCTATTGAGAATACCAGATAATTTTACCTATAAGTTTAATTTAATGTCAATATTGATTAGAGCTCTCGGATCGAAAATTGTTGGATCCAGACCAGGACGAAATGAACTTTTATGTTCTCAATGAAATTTTCTAATTAAAATTGGATAGTCACCACCGAAGATACGAGATATTTTTTCCAATTTTTTTGTATTCAGTGATTGGTACACTCTAGGCATTCTTCAAACAACTAGAGCCCATCAAGTCCACAATTTTCAGACTTGAAAAAACCCAGCGAACTTGAATATTGATACAATCGGAAAAATAAAAATACAAAATTGAAGTTTCTTGATCAAATAATTGAACATTCGAAAACATGAAAAGTTATGTTTTTAGGCTTCTTCTGTTAATAAATTTTTTCTTCCTATATATATCGAAGCAAAAGTGATAGTTATTTGACCATGAATCATTTTTTGTTTTATATTTCAAACAGATCCGACAAAACGACATTATTCAGTAAGAAGAGAATGACGATAAACAGGCACATTATTAATTTGACATATGAAAAAAGATGAAAAAACAACAACATCGAATTGCTACCTTTCATTGCATACAAGAGACAACATAGATGTCAAGCAAATATTTGATTAAAAACGAAAAATACACAGGAATCAATAAACAACAAAAAAAGCTGCTAATTTTTTAATTTATTTTATGTTAAAAATATATTTATGACAATTTTCATTTCCCACTTTTTGATGTTCATATAGACTGTAACAATTAAATGACGAGACAAAAGGAAAAGTTAAAATTAACTCTTGGACGGACATAGAAAAAAAAAAAATAAAGAAAATAATATTTATATAAATATAAGTTAATATGCTAATTGATTTTCTTTTTGAAGAAACTTAAGGTAATTGTAAATATTTTTTTTCTGCATAATACCCATCGACAATATCATAAATTTGTTTGATTGTTTTTATGAATGTTTTATATTGATCCATGATATCTGATTTATGACCATGAAAAATTGCTTCATCTAATTGTTTACGTGATGGCAATGCATGAAATCCAACTTTGACTGTTGTACGCACAAAAAAGCCATCTAAAGAAAATAAGTATGGTTTACTAAATCTAGTCACATAGATTATTCATAAATAATGAACAATGACATATCTGGATAATTACATCATTTAAAAATGCATTTTATTTATTAATATTTAATTGCAATATATTTGAACTATGTATGATCATTCTGTAACTATATTAAAATATAACTGCACACATCTGACTCACTTGATATTTTACTCACAAATACGTTTTCTTCTCTTGAAAAAGAACTTTTTTACAAATGATAAACGACTTTCGAGTTCATAAATTGAAAAAATAGAGTTTCCAATGAGACTAGTTCATTTTGAAAGTGTAAAATTTGTTAATGTCTTCTATTGTCAGATATGTGTATAAAGATAGGAGATACTAACAGATCAAATATTTTAATGATGAACTAATCCTATCGAGTACTTAATTTATTCAGAATATGAACTCAAAAGTCAATTTTGAAAATAATTTACGATATGATCGCATTTCGTCTAAAATGGTCATAATTCAACAAGAGAAACCGATGCGTACCAAAATTCTTTTATTTTCAAATGGAGTCTCTTTAATGAACTAAGACTCATCTCAAAAATCATTTGTTAGCAATTCTCATAGATATAAATCAAGTACAGAAAATTTCAAAGTCAAAAATTAACTTAGAGAAAAATGAAGACAATCGACAACTCTTACGGCGACATACCACTAGGACATGGATTATTTGAAATAATTTTTTTAATTTGATTGATAATGATTTGTCTGCATGCAGTACGATCTCAAACTATCTTATAGAAAAGTGTGTACTAAATACAATAGACTAGTGAGCAAATATATAAAATTTTGACGATAAAGAATCTTCGCCAAAAACTCTTTCACTTTCATCTAACTTCATCCTCATAACCTGTAAGGTTTTTATGTGAAATATTTCCTAGCAACTTTATAAATGTTTCAAATTCATTATTTAAATCCTATCATCAACTTTTTGACAACTCATACTGGTAACCGAAAAGTAGATCTCTGTATCAGATTTGACATGCAACGTATCTGTCGGCATCAATTCTACCTATAATCGCATTCTACAAGATATCCTAATAAATAATAAGAATATCAAAGAAAAAAACACAATGAATTCTAACAATTCTATAGGTAGATTGGCTGGGTACGGGCTAGAGCTTGTTGGATCCAAAATTTTCGGCTCCAATCGGACCATATTTTGATAATCTCAATGAAATTTTCTAATCGAAATTTCATAGTCACCGCGCAGATTCAAAATCCTTTTTTCAGCTTTTTGTATTCAGTGACTAAAACGTCCTACGTATTTCACAGACGATTAAAACCCATCGGGCTCAAATTTTCTGACCCAAACCTGCTCGAATTCGTGAATGATCCAATGGCCTCTTGCGTCGGCGTTGATTTCTTTTATGATCTATGCAGAGAGCTATTCTTAAATCAAATAAAACTAATCTAACCATGATATTCATTTAAATACAATAATCTTTATGAAAAGCAAATAAAAAAAACTATATTAACCTTAAAAACAAACTTATTACAGCTTATGCATTCTTTTAATCATTGAATAAAAATATTTTTCTTTCGATACTATCTTTCTATCATATTTAAAAACAAAAAACCTCAATTTGATATGCTACTAAAGTCTGACAATAAAGTTGTATGTTCCAAAAAGATAAGCCGAAGATTTTGCTACAAAATAATGTATTTTGTTTTTATTTTTTTGTATTAAAACTTACGATGATAATATAATGTTGAATCATAAGCATTACTTGCTATTGTAGCCGTACTTTCAGATAATGGTCGATCACTTAAAGCACGAAGAAATTCTTCAATAAATATTAAAGCCCGATGAAGTCTTAATAAAGTTCGAGCAAAATTGTCTGAATTTGTTTTAATTAAATTATTTTCTGTTTCATAATCAATAGCTTTTTGTATTGTATCAAAATGCTTTGTAGCACCTGTATCTTTATCAACAAAACCTTGTAAAATAGTTAATTTTTGTACAACATCGTCTTTAACAAATTTAAATACATAGCCAAGTTGATCAAAAAACCTATTAGACGAAGAAAAAAAAGTCTTGTTTTTCTTAACGAAAAATAAATGCGATTATTTTCCCTTGAGAATTCTTCATTTTTCTTCATTGTTTTTTTTATTCAATAAAAACTATTCATTTGTAAAAATTTACAAGAGAATTTCTTTATTGTTTCGAATATTCTAGATTGATAAAAATTTTTTTAACAAAAAAAAAAAGAAATACTCACTTAATTAATTCTCGATAGCCATTTATATAATCTTGTGTACCAATAGGTGACTTTGGATTTTGAGATTCTTTTAATGCAGCGATGAATGCTTGATAAACAGATAGTACATCAAATCCACTGGATGACGAATGGGTTGTCTTGACAACAGGTTCGATAACATCAGCTGATCGAATATCTTTTCCATCGGACGGTGTGCTTTTTGTTATACTATCAGTACGTAAACGAAATGGTTGATTGAAAGCAGTACCATCAATTTCGGGTGTATCAACAGGTATTATAGCATCCATTTTTTGAAAATAATATTATAAAAATGTTTTAAAATTGAAATGGCAAATATAGAAAAACAACACTGAGTAAATAAACAATTATTTACTTGTGTTTTTCGATTTATATAATTAATAATTAATAAAAAAAAAGAGAGAGAAAAAGAGAGACAGAACGGATCAGCTGATCGATAAAATAATAAATATCAATTCAATTAGTTCGCGAGTTGCGACTAAGATCAACCAAACGATAGATAAAAAATAAACTTGATAAATAATCAGTATTATTATGGCCAACAGATAATCTTCAATAGATGGCATTCATTGACAGTAAAATTGAAGAAAAAACAATGAGATCAACGGTCTAGTAAATGATCTTAAGATATAGATAAAGAGTGAATTCTATTGAATTTCATTTATTCAATTGAAATTAAAAACTTAATTTAAACATATTCAGATCATGCATCAAGTATTGTACACAAAGAAATCACTTGATGTAGGCATCCAAAAACGAGATTACATCGTAAAACAAGTTTTTCTTAAATTCTTCGATTTTTCTTTTTGATGTGTTTCCCCTCAATGACCTTAAAATCTATTAATATCTTGACAAGGAAATTAGATAAAGTTATTTCTTATATATTATAACGCTCGATTTCAGTATAGTTGATCAAGCCAATAAAAATAAATATATATTTCTATTCAGATTTTCTAGGTACCTTTACTTTCTTTTTTTTTACAGAAACGGAAGGAATTATTTTGTTTTGCAAGTTAACTGTTGATTTTCCGTTTTTAGAAGCTTCTAGTGAAGGAAGTGAATAGATTATTAGATTTAATATAAAATATTTCCCTCAAAGAATAGCAGAAATAATCTGAAAAAGAACTGTCAATAATTAAATGTAAAGATATTTATAGCAATCATGGATAAACACAACGAATGCTCTTGATAATGTCATGATAAGAATATACTTTAACAGCTTGATATACTACAGCATTGTAGTATTTTAATAATATATATATATGTATATATTAAGATATTTTGATGAAGAGATAAAAAGAAATGGAAAACAGCAAGTATTGCTTTTTTAAGAATCAAAGATTTAATATAGAAACATTTTCTATACCAATTAGATCGGTCGGTTAGCCGAAATCTCATAAAAATCAGATCATTCAATAGAATGATTAATCATAGATTCTTATTTTTATGTTAAATAGAATAGAGATCTTTTTCAAGCAATATGAACAATCGTCTAAGATTTATTTTTCGTTTATTCTCTCTCTCTCTCTTCTGGTCAGAGTTTGTCAGTAAAATCATTTTGATTATTTGTGTAGCTTTGAATATTGACTTATTATTTATTAGTAGTAAATTGTAGTATAGTCAAAGATTATTTATATTTGTTAAATGAAATTTTCTTGGTTTTTGTGTTTATCCATATCCTCTTTTTCCGATTGTATCATCGCTTATTTTTCTTGCGTTTTATCCTAAAACTTGGTTCTTATAATAATAATAACAATAACAATGAAAGAACGTCAACAAAAAAAAAAATAGCAACAATTGTATATATGTGTTTTTGCAGAAAAATATCTTTATTTTTTATCATGGATCAACAAAACTTGCCATCGTCATCTAATGATGTACACTCGGCCTTATCTTATTTCTCATCAATAAACGATTCCATTCATTCCGAGCAGCTTCTCATGGCTCGAATCGAGACCTTTTTCTTCTGTCTGTCTCTCGCTCTCTATCTCTCTCGTGTTCTTTTTCTGTTTCTACATTGTTGTTGTCGTCGTCGTTGCCAGTATTATTATTATTATTCATATTGATGATGAGCAGTATAGACAGACACATTATTTTCATACGGTATTAGATAGTTGTGTGATGACAATAGCATGACTGATAAACTATTAATCTGTTCTTTAACACTCTTAAGCATGAATCATTGTTTGCAACACATTTATATGATCGGCCTAACCCTAACTAACAGTTTCACATTACATTATACATACATATGTAATATATTTTGCCCTAATAGTTCAAACGATACACATCTGATTATTTTATAATGGTAAGATTTCTTTTTGAACAAAAAAATAAAAAGAGAAAAGTGGAACAGATCTATCTGGCTGTCATCTATTTGTACTTTCCTAGCGCATAAAGCCATATGTTAGGTATCAAGTAGAGTAAAAAAAAAAAACCTTCAACATATATAATGTTTATATAAATATGACTAATATGATTAATTAGTTGATTGCTCACAGCCGTTTGATATTTACATACAATACCTTCATTTTACCTTTTTTCTCTTTTTTTTTTCTATTCTTTTTTCTTCCGGATCAAAAAAAAAACACTTCCCTCTCTTTCCAAGTATGTCTTTTTTTCTTACTTTCTATCATTTATTCAGTATTTTTCCGAGACATTGAGTAAGTGAACGGAAAAAAAAACTGAGCTTTCTCTGTGCTTCTTTTAGTTCGTTGCTATTTGTTCTTCATATTTCTTTTAACGAACAACTCCACATGATTTCACTATTGCGGTCTTCTGTTATTTATGATAGCTACTAACGGTTTCTCTTTCGCATCATAATCACTATCATCATCATCGATAACATCATATATATATATATATATATATTCGAAGAGTAGTCTAGAAAAGAAAAGAAAAGAGAAAGCAAAGAAAACAGACGATCTCTTTACTAAAATGATGGGATGGCAGACAACAACGATGACGATAAGATCACTATATTACATTTTGCTGTTCTATCCTAGATATTCGATTCATTAGTTTTTTTCAAATAGTTCGATTACAACATATTTGCCAACATCATTTTTCCATTTTTTTCTCGTCGATAATAAGAAAAACCCGTGAGACGGTGATAGACACAGTGAATTTATTCACTATTCAGTTCCCTTGATGGTTCTTTATTATGGTCTGTTGGCTCTTGAGACAGCCAACAACACGGTCGCTGCAGCCGCTTCCGCCAAAACAACAACAAAAACGACATCAAGACTAGCATCTGATCGAATAAGTCTATCACGGAAACAGAAATATTTATCAAATTCAATCGGAAAAATCCCCTCATCATCATCTAATTCATGGATTTATACAGAAGATTTACGAAAACGTTTTGAAGAACGTTATGCTGATTACCGTTATGTATTTGTACCTGTTTATATTGATCGAAAATCGACTAATCATAGTCGTAGTACGACAGCTATTTTATCACAATATGATCATGAAAATTCTTGGATGTATTCAAGATCACTTCGTGATCATTTATTTTATTCAACATCAAAAATATCTTTACCATTAACAACAAATATATCATCATCATCAACGTGTTGTGTAACGAATCATGGATTTATGCGTGATGAATTACCAATAAAAAAGACTTTAAAAACAAAATTATTTAAACGTTCATCATCAACACAAGATAAGCCGACAACTAATTTGTCATTACCATCATTACCATTTAGTCCATTTACATCATCAGTACCATCATTTTCTACAATAAATAATTTAGTTAAACATCGAACAAGTGATGTTGTTGAAGAAGAAGATGATGAAGGTATTGATGATGAAAATCACTCGGCACCACTTATTAAACATGAGTAAGTTTTTCAATGTTGAAAAAAATAGAAAACTAGATGAAGTGAAGAAAAACCAGAAGATACTTTTGTTCTGTATAATTGACAAATAATTCATTGTTGACATGAAAATGGATAATACTATGAAAAATAAATATTTTCTCAGTGCATACCATATGAGAAAATTTCCTTTTTTTTTTTTCTTCTATGGCAAACGTAATAATAGAACTCAATGAGACTATCTTTGATAGCATAAGATGCATTTTGTCATGCTTTATTCATTTAACCACATACAAACGAATACGTTTTTTTTTTCTTTTTTTTTTTAATGCTAAAAGTAATGAGTTCAACAAGTATAAAAAAATAGAACAAATTAATATTCGGAAATGTTTGAATCTAATTAGGTTTCATAGAAACAAGAAAAGCCAACGTTATCCATTAAGTAAGGATTCAAGTATTCAATATGCTTCTTGTTTTCTATATTATTAAATATAGTTCTATGGTTCCATCATCTTTATCAACATCACGTACAGTAACGATATCATCTACTGGCAATAATACAATCATTAATCCAACAACTACGGATGCCGAAGTATTGTCGACTTCAATTTCATCAAATACAAAATTATCAATAAAACATCCTGCTAAACAGAACAATAAATTGACACGTCTACGCTCATTTTTCTTTAAATCATTTTCGCCATCATCTTCCTTTTCTCGTACTCAACAACAACAGACAAGATTGTCATCCTCGTCGCTGCCTAATCGAATTTCGAGGACATGAATGTACGTGTGTACGCACATGAGAAATAGAGAATGAGAGAAAAAAAAAAGAACTTTCTTGTAATGGTTAATTGAATCTATCTATTCATCTGTCCTCGTTTTGTCATAACATGAGACATACGATAGACTAAAATAATGGCAAGAGAGAAAAAAATGCTTTCAATTTTAATGGCAACTCTTCATTTAATAGACATGATGATGTATTTATTATTAACGTTTTCTTTTTATTTAAAAATTAGAACCTACATCCATGAAATGGCAACGGAAGAAACAAAAACAAATTGTTTTTTATTCTTGTTTTTTTTTTTGTTTGATTGTAATATTCAGGCCGTTTTTTTAGCTTTAACAAGTTGTACAATATAACGATAACGTGCTAAACACTGTTCACGTGTTTTTCCAGGTACACAACGAGCTATTTGTTCCCATCGATCAACACCAGGTGTATCCTTTGGTACGGTTTTTAATGCACATTCAAGTAAATGTTGATCATTTTGTGACCAATCAGGAAAAGATTCTGATTGTTGTCGTTCAGTAATTAAATTTTGATCGATCGTTACTGTTGATGAAAATGATGAATGAGTATCTTGAAACATATTATTATTTGAACCAACTGTATTTTGTATTTGTTTAGCCATATCTATTACTTGTGACACAGGACGATCGATTATATCAGCAATTTTTTCCCATCGTCGAGGTGTTCCTGGTGGAAATCGAACAATAGTTTTACATAATAATTGTTTTTCTTCGTCCGACCATGGACGAGTCAAATTTTGAGATTGTGATGATTGATTATTTTCAGATGATGATGATGTTATTGTTGTTGTTGTTGTTGTTGTTAAATAAGAAACAACAGGTGCATTTCGATTGGATGCCATTTTAGGTACAATATCATTTATTCGAACGACAGGAGATTTTTTTATTATTTGATGTTCATTATCATCATCATCATCATCATCACATGAAGGAACAGGTTCAATTGATGAAGACTGCCGACGATAATTTATAATAAAATTTAGAAAATTTTTTATATATGGTATTAAAAATTGATGATTAACAAGAAAAGTAGCAAATTTAATAGGTAATATATCAGTCAATTGAGGTGTTGCAACGGCTACAAAAAAAAAAAGAAGAATAACTTTTTTGTTCTAGCTAAATTTCATTAACATGTTTGAATCTTAGACATTGTATAAGAATGTGAACCCTTGAGAAAACTTTAAGATATGTAATTATTCTTTTGACATGAATTCATAGAATATGACCGTAGAAATACTTTAATATAATCAAATGACTTGAGAGAAGATTTTTTTTCTCTAACTGTCAAGGTAATCTTTTTTTTTCAATCATATCAAATTGCTACATTATTCAATCTTCTGAATTTTTTCCTTTTTACGAGATTGTGACAGTTAAATAATCGTAGAAATCAAATGTCTCGTTTTTGACAAAAACGTAACTGTTTAATAGTGCACAGCGAGTTCTTGTCAAACTATACATGAATAAAAGAAGAATATTCTTGCATTTCGGCTACCGTGCACAAATGGAATCGGTTCGTGTTTTTTTTTTTGCAATCCAATCGAACCGATCTAGTCTTTTAAAAAATTCAAACCGAACCGGTTCCATCGCTACTACCGAGTGATATGAGATGCTGTCTACTAACAGATCAATAGCCTAATATCTTTCCTACAAGTAATACTAGCTGTAGTTCCGCAGAGAAGAAGGCCAACCTGATGTAGAATTCAAGTACTTTCCATGCACACTAACTAACAGCAAGAGCATGTGGACGTTACAATGTAGTCAGTATACTATTCAATAGATGATCCGAGGCAAATAGTTGTTAGTAACTTGTAAAGATTGATTGCATGAATGATGGTAATGAAGTATGAACACAATAACTTTTGGATACGAGTCGAACACAGTAGCCTCTACATTGAATAGAGTGATATCTTTCAGACAAATGAGTACTCTTTGCTTCAAAGTGAAAGTTGTCAACAGACATATTTTATCTTTGAAATAATTCTATATGAATTAGTCTAAAAAATGATCATTGACTCTTTTCTCTCTAATTACCAGGTAGAATTCGGGCCACTTCTTCATCGATCACATTTTGATCAATTTCTTTAATTTTACTTGATTTTTTCATTTTTTTCTCTAATCGTTTCCGTACATCTACTGACCGTTCATTCTAAAATAAATATAAATCATAAGAATTTCTACATATAAATAAGTTGATCTTACTTCACCATAGCTAAAGTAGATTCAAAATAAATAGCCCAAAGAACTAAATAATGCCCAATAGTAAATATTAAAGTTAAAATTGTAAAAATTTCCCATATACGTAATTTTTTTGCTCGTCGAAAATAATATATTGGTTGATTCCATTTTGGTAATCCTTCAATAAGTATGCGATCATATCGAGCACGACGTTGTTCATCTTTTAATATTTCATAAACAGCAACAAGATGACGAAATTTTTCTTCAGCATCCGGCTCACTTGATTTATCTGGATGCCAAATAAGTGAAAGTTTCCTTTAAGAAAAGAAAAACAAAACGAATAAAAAACAAGCTACATATCAATCATTTTACCTGTATGCTTTTTTAATTTCGCTTAATTCAGCTGTTTTTCCAATACCAATAAAATCATAAAAATTTGTATTCAAACCAAGTTCTTCCACCAAATCAAATAAATCGAGTTCATAATTTTCCCATGCGCTTATTAAATCGATTCGAATAATAAATAAAAAAATACACAAATGGCATTTCATCTGCAATCAAATTTTCCAATTTTTTTGTATATTTTTATCCAAAGACAAAAAAGAGAAGTCGAGCTGATGTAAATGTAATATGCCAAAAAAAAGAAAGAAAGAAGGAAACACAACAACAACAGCAATAAAATGACTAGTACACGATCAGAACATGTAGAATATTTACATTTCTCTTTTGTGAAAACTGACTACACACACACTGTTAAATTGTTTTCTTTTGTTTCACGAGACAACATTTAGATCAAAAAAAGCATTTGTTTAAATAAAATGAGCGTTTTCTTTTAAGTTAAGTTTAATTTAATTTAATTTTTATTTTGATTTATTTGCCATTATTTGACCACCATCACCTTCATCATCACTTGATTCTGAAGCACGAAGATCATCTTGATGATGGATATTTTTTAAATTAGCTTCACGAAGTTGAAGAACACTTTCAGCTGGAACAGGGTTTCCACTGGAATCCATAACCATCGGTTTTATAATACCATGACTATTTAAAGAAAAAGAAAACTCAAGAACAAATGAAACAGCTTTTTTTTTACTTTATAGCTTGATCTAAACTATTAACAAGTTTGTCAACTTCAACCATTTTTCGTTCTACAGACCAACCTTGCATTGGGTCTTCATGTCGTATTACATTTGCACGACCTGTGACTGAATCAATACTAAAACACAAATCTTCATACAATGGACTATTTGATTTCAACGTGAATTTTGAACAAAGAAAGATACTCGATTTCAAATAGAAATAAGAGTCCATCTCAGATGATTCATTTTCGACCGTCGGAAATAGCTATCCTCTTCTCCCCACCCCACTCCTGCTCTGCTTCCATAATCTAGTGAGACGGATTAGGATGCGGTTTTTCAAAGTTTTACATCGTTATTACGGCATTTAAGACCGTTTACGATGTCTTTTTCTTGGACCTGAGAGGAAGCCTTTAAAATTGTTCATATAATTATAGATATGCATAGTCGCACCCAAAAACAACGAGAGTATACACATTTATATTCATATGAATAATTTTAAAGATCCTCTAGCTTCGCATTCCAGAAAAATGGTATATACAGTTGCATATAACAATAGATAACTCTCAAGATTTATAAGATGATGCGTCCAGAAAATATAGGAACGAAAAGTCTGCGTGTGATTGGGTATCAATCACTTCCTAACGATGCCTTATAACATAAGTCAGACACTTGCTGACTGTAATCGATGAGAGTTGTGATATGTTTTATGTATAGTGAAACCCTCTCGCCGCATCTTCTATCTAGAGTGAAGCTTATTCTGCTAGAACTCTAAACCTCCATCGTTGAGGAAAAACAAACGTTATTTTTTTTCCTACATTTAATTTAAAATGAAAAACCGCATAAACTCAAAATCTTAATCAAACAAAAAATTTTTTTTTTCTCGATAAAATTTTCTTACCCATATTGTTCACGAATTCTTTTATAAGCTTCCGTATCAGATTCATCTGAATCACTTGAATATTGTTCTTTATTTGTATTATGTTGTGGACCAAGTAAACCAAAATCATATAAAAGTCCAGCTGCATTTCCATAACCTGTATATTTAATTAAACGATCGACTAAAGACGAATAAAGAAAAATAAAATAATCGAATTATCAATATTTTTCTTCATACCACTTTCTTTACAAAGAACAAAAAGTAATTTTGCTGAAAGAGTTTTTAATTCCGAATTTGGATTTGTCATCATACGTGTTAATCTAAAAATTTTAAAAATTATATTTTTGTTTTATTCTAAAAAAAAAATTTTTGTTTTTCTTAATTCACTTGTTCCGTAATTTTTGTCCTTCAGTTGGTAAATTTAAAACTTCATCGCCTAATGGAGGTAAAATAAATTGCCGACAAAATTTTCTTATGGTACGATTTGCTTGACACATAAGTATAAGAAGTTGAAGAACAGGTAATAAAGCTTCTTTAGTATTTTTCGATCCCTAAAAACGAAATATTTTTATTTCTTTATTCTTAATTATTTTTGCTTGCTTTTTCTACTTCAGTTTTTGTAATACGATGATCAAGAAAACGAAGAATGATATTAATAGCTTCCATATTTTTTCCATTATGTTCTTCACTACCATTGTCATCTTCTAATACAGCTGGTGAAAGTAATTCTTCAAAACATGTCTTTGGCATATTTGTTAAAAGATTAATTATATGACTAAATATTATTAATTGAAAAAAGAAACAAAAAAAAAACACATTTTTATATTTTATACTTTC